GCGTTGGCGCCACGCGCACCCATCGATTGACACCAACAGATACACGGATTGATGGGTGTCGTTTTCAAAATAGGGTGTTCGCCCTGGCGCCGCGAACATTCGACGGAAAAGATCCAACGCCTACACGGATGAAGGGCGGGTCATGCTCAAAGTTGCGGCTTCACCTTGGCGCCGCGCACATTCGTTTTACAAGCTTGTAACCGAAAAGTACACGGATGGAGGGCTGGTCATGTTCAAACTTGGGAGTTCGCCTCGGAATCGCGCACATGTGTCCTGAAAGCGTACAACCGCTGCACGGGCGCAAGGCTCCTTATTTGCAGTGGAACTCGCGCTTTAGACCCCCTCCAACCTTACGGCCCAAAAACCAAATCTGTACAACCGCTACACGGACAGATAGCGCATCATGGTTTGAATGGGGCTCTCGCTTGAAACGTCCCAGCTGTTTACTATGGTAGATAGAGTGGAACTCTGTGACGCTTATATGGCGGGGGGGGCTGAGAAATGTTGAACGGGGCTATCACTGGTCATTCCCTCGGATGTTCCAGCAGTGCCCTTCAAATGGATGGATTGGCTGCGTGTCCTCTACAACGCGGGGCTTCGCCAGAATTGCAGGCCCACAGGGCGTTCGCCTGTCAAGGGGCCCGCTGCCTGCAGTGGAAAAGACTACTTGCAGGCAGGGACAGGTCAAGACTTGGGCCGGAAAGGCGCCTTGCAGTCGCGTTGGAGCATATTGGGTGTACGTTCGTTTTCATCCCACTCCCTGGCCTCAGCATCAGCCTCCTCCTCCTCCTCCTCCTCCTCCTCCTCCTCCTCCTCCTGCTCTCCTAGGGGTCGTGCCATTCCCAAGCCTGTCCAGTTTGGCATCGATCGCTTGGGAACAGCGCCGACCCTATCGGCCCCGACCTCCAGCTGAGGTCGGCGGTCGGCGCTGCCGACATCCGACACGTCCCAGTCAGTTGCCTCCCGTAGGCGGGCGCGGGCGCAGAGGGCTGATGCGAGACGGCTGGTGAGAGTCGCCCAGACCTCACTCGAGGGCCGGCGTGCGCCGCTGCAGCTTGCCCAGCACCAGGGGCACCACCTCTGCGCCAAGATGGGTGGCAAGAAGCAGCAGAGGTGGGCCCAGTGCAAGGAGGTGCGGCAGCTGGGAGCGGGGCACCAGCCCGGAGGCGCCGAACTTCAGGCGCAAGTGCGGAGCGCAGTTCTCGAGGAAGGGCCCTCAGGAGCCTGCCGCGGGCCCAGGCGCTGAGACGGCGGGGGTCACGAGGGCCCTCGAGAGCGCCTCCCCGCACCTTGCCAGCAGGCAGCTGGCCCCAGAGGTGGCTCAGCGCCTGTCGAAGGCCATGACCCAGGTCACCCAGGCCACAAGCGGCGGCGACCTCGTGCAAGAGCAAGGCAGCGAGGTTGGCGCAGGCGGCCAAGAAGCTAGAGGAGGCCAACATCGAGCACGACAGGACGTTCGCCAAGCGCAAGGAGGCGAAGGCCAAGCTCGCGGAGCTGGAGCAGGACGTCCTGGCGAAGGCCTAGGCCGTCGCCAAAGCCGAGCAGACCGTCAGTGAGATCCAGCTCGAAGGCGCCCCCAAGGCGAAGCTCCTGCACGACATTCTCCCCATGCCGCCTGACGCCCTGGCCGCGGAAATCGCTCGCGGGCCTGGACGCCGCGCCGCTGAAGGTGGACGAGGGCGACCTGGACGAGCAGGCCGTCAAGGAGGTCGCGGACGCCCAGGCGGCCATGCCGAAGGAGTTCCAGCACCGCACGGAGGGCTTCGTCTCCCAGCCGAGGACGCACCTGGCATCGGTGAAGGCCCAAGGCCCAGCAGGCGAAGCGGGAGCAGGCGCAGGCGTCCAAGAAGAGGCGCTGGCAGCAGGACTCGTCCGCCGACGCCGACAGCGCCCAGGCAGCGGCCGCAGCGGCCGCCGACGCCGCAGGCGCAGGCGCCGCGGCCGCAGCAGCCGCCTCCGCAGCGGCCGAGGCCCAGGCGGCAGCGGCGGCAGAGGCCAAGGCGAAGGCGGAGAAGGAGAAGGAGAAGGCTGCGAGGATCGCCACGGCGCGCGAGGCGGCCAAGGCGAAGGCCGTGCAGCAGGCCAGGGAGCAGGCAGAGGCGGCCCAAACCCCTGCGACGGGGCCAGCCGCTCCTGTCAAGTGATGACCCAGGGGGCCTGGTCGAGCCAAGACCGACGAAGCTGAAAAGCGGTCGTCCAGGCAAGCAGTCATCGGCAAAATCAGGACATGGGGGAACTCGGCGAGCAGGCTCGTCAAAGAGTCGCTTCTCACCGACTCGCACGACGCGTATCTGCTGCAGGAGGCACACGTTCGACACAAAGCTATCGAGGCGGCGGAGAGAGAGCTGAAGGGTTGAGTTCTGAAGACGGCCTCCTCTGCTGCGCGCCCCAGTGAGACCTCAGAGAAGGCCTCCCGGGGAGGAGTGACGGCGGCCATCAGGAGCCGCCGCCAGGTATCGTGCCACCGCGAGCTCGCCCGCCCGCGCACAGCATCACAGTC